CGATCCCGCGAGACTGGCTGGGATGGGGGCGCGCAAGGGCGGGGCGAGAGGAGACCAAAATTAAATGAATAAATAAAATAAGCAAAAGAAAAAAAAGGTGGATGAGGGAGGGAGGGGAAGGACGCGGAAAACACCCATTTCGGATTTGTCGCGGAAATGGCTGCCAGGTTCATTGGTTCGGCGAGCAGGTGCCGTTTATGCAAACGAGAATATCTTATAATATATATAATAATAATAATAATAATAATAATAATAATAATAATAATAATAATAATAATAATAATAATAATAATAATAATAATAATAATAATAATAATAATAATAATAATAATAGTAAAGTTGGAAGGGACCTTGAAGGTCATCTAGTCCAACCCCCTGCTCAGGCAGGAAACCCTATACCATTTCGGACAAATGGTTGTCCAGTNAGGAAGTTTCTCCTTAGTTCTAGATTGCTTCTCTCCTTGATTAGTTTCCACCCGTTGCTTCTTGTCCTGCCTTCAGGCGCTTTGGAGAATAGCTTGACTCCCTCTTCTTTATGGCAACCCCTGAGATACTGGAACACTGCTATCATGTCCCCCCTCGTCCTTCTCTTCATTAAACTAGACATACCCAATTCCAGCAGCCATTCCTTATACGTTTTAGCCTCCAGTCCCCTAATCATCTTTGTTGCTCTTCTCTGTACTCTTTCTAAAGTCTCAACATCTTTTTTACATCGCGGTGACCAAAACTGGATGCAGTATTCCAAGTGGTATATGATAAATATGCATCAATATGATAAATCTTCAGAGTCAGTTAAACCTACAAAACAATGGAAACTAATTAAACAGAAACAAATGGTGAGAGTCCGGAAGAGATAACATAAAGAAAGGATCTAAAGGAAATATGTAGGCAAAAATAGCTGGGTCTGAGAAAGGAAGAAGAGAAGCCCTAAAATATATAGGAAATGGCTAGCCAGGAAAAGATAGGATGGAGAATAGGAAAATAAGCTGAATAAGATAAGAGAAAAGGCACACAGAATTGAAAAGCAGGAAAAGAACTTATTGTTTAAAATGGGGACATAAATATCTACTGAGTTTAAAATAATTTAAATGTCTAATTTTTCTTATTCTTATTGTATATGTGAATACGATTTAATATGTCATCAGGAAATGTGTATAGGCGGACGGAAAGAGTGTAACCTCATACTACCTCAGCCAATGGGGAAAGAGGAGGGCTGTAGCAGCCGGTGATAGGGATGAATAAAAGAAGGAGATATTTTGGGTTAAAACTTTGGAGAGAACCAAGCTTTGATAGCTTCTCTCCCCGCTTATTGCAATAAACGAAACAAAAGGCCTTCACTGTGTCTTGGCTGTTATTGGTCAGGTGAGCTTGCCTCTGGTCACGAAGGAAAGTAGCCAGAAGCACATAACAATATATATACAAGTAGTCCTCTATTTACAACAGTTCGTTTAGTGGCCATTCGAAGTTATAGTGGCACTGAAAAATGTGACTTATGACTGTTTTTCAGAGTTATGACCTTTGCAGCATTCCCCATGGACGCGTGATCAAAATTCAGATGCTTAGCGACTGGGTCACATTTATGAGCATTGCTGTGCCCCAAAGGGCATGTGATCCTCTTTTGCGACCTCACAAGCAAAATCAATGGGGAAGCGAGGTTCATTTAACAATTGGGTTACTAACTTATCAACTACAGTGATTCACTTAACGGTGGCAAGAAATATTGTAAAATGGGGCCAAACTCACTTAACAAATGACTCACTTAACAACAGAAATTTTTGGCTCAATTGGGCCGTAAGTTGAGGACTATCTGTATATATATATGGAAGCAAGCGCATAAATATTCTTCATATCCAGTTTTTTTTTTTGAGGAGGGATGTGTGTTTGGTGTAATTTACTTAAAAAATATTAATCTTTGAACTGTTTTGCTCCAGAAAGGAAGGAAAAACTCTCCGGGATCATGATGCGCATATTCTGTGTGGAATGAAATTGCGACTCCATTGTTTTCCTTCAAGGAAGGAGCAGAGAGGTCTTTACAACTATGATCTTTACCTTTGAACCACCAAACCTTTGATCTGGTTCATAGGAGGATTTAACGCTAGAAGTGACAAGTTTTTACTCCAACGTGTATCTTGAATTTTACAAATTACTGTGTAACTGATGTGTAGTTTTTATAAGTTACAGTTGCAACTGCTGCCAAACTGCATGGCTTCCACATGTTGTATCAGATGCTTTACAATTTAAGTAAAAGGCCTTACTAGGGATCATAACTAATAATACTGTATTCCAAAGAGGCCTGGCTAAGGATGAAATATTTGTCGTGTCTGAACACTAATTTTTGCAAAAGAAAAAAAGGCTAGGATAATTTGGTGGTATAACTCCATATGCAGTTTTATTTTCTTTTAAAAGAAACATTGTATTTGATCAGTTGCACTTCTCTAACATTGTAGCATTCATCTGAACACAAGGCATTTGTGCCATTTGGATAACTATATTTCCCAAATCACAACAGAAATCTGTTGCATGAGGTTTGCTCTAGGTTTTTTTTTTACTGTGTAATTTGCAGTCATTGATTCTATTTTCCACACTGATATAATTTTCAGATCAGCACTAATAGGATCACGCTTCCCATCAAAATTGCTTTACATTTTATCTCCCTGTTCCAAAGTATTCCTAGCTACATTATCTTTGTTTTTAACACATTAAACAATATTGCTCTCATTTTTGTAACAATTCCTGCACTTTCACTTCTTCCACAGCCATTTTTTTTTGCCAAGGCCCTCACATGGCACCACTGAACAATGGTCTGTCCCACACTAAGAACTGCTCATGACCCTTATATCCTTCATCGGTTTTATCACTCTTTCATTATAAACCATCATACCCTTTAATTTGTCCCTTTTCTATTATTATTTTTTAAGTGTGTGCATCAAAAATGCTTCAACCAAAATCAGACCATTTTCTAAGCAGATACTCATCGGTCATTGTTATAACATCACTTGCATTGAGCCCAAAGGCAACTGGACTTTCTTGATTTTTTTTCCCCTTGAAAATGTTTGGCTTCTCATCCAAGAACCTTCTTCAGTTTTGAAGAACTGAAGAAGCTTCTTGGATTTGAAGCAAAACATTTTCAAGGAAAAAGCACAGGAAAAATCCAGTTGCCTTTTAAAAAGCACCTTTGGGACAACCATAACCTGGGTGATTGTGAATCTCCCTAGACACTTTTATTGAAGGTGGCTGGAATGTAGGACTGAAACCAAATAGCCAGTCCACATGCTGCTATGAAACGGCTAGGTGACAAGAGCGATCACTACCTCAACTCCTGGTGATATGAGCACATTATTTTGTTTTCCTGGGGACGACAATACAAGTGGTTTTCTACTATCTTTTTCTTGGCTTGCATTACCACCCAAAATGGTTAAAGTGAAAAAAATTCACCAATGTTGCTGAGTTCCTTGGAGCAAGGATAGAATAAATATGCATCTTCTCATCTTAATTTCTCATTCCCCCCAGAAAATACCAAACTTTGATCTGTGCAAAAGAAAACCAAGACTCTAAAATTCTGGTCATTTCATTTATTTTAAACAGACTTTTAGACAACAAATACAATGCCCTGGTTAAAGGCATGATGTTGACATTTCTGGCAGCTGGAGGGAACCGTTTAATAACAGGAGTGGTCTTAGATCTAACTTTGGCAAGTGAGCCCATCTGTCCCTGACCAATCATTATGTTGTATATTTCTCAGGGATAGGGTGTCAGACCTGCCTCGGTTTGAAGTTCCAAGAACAATCCATTTGGTTAAAAAAGGTACAGTTCACTAGACTACAGTAATTCATTTGATTTCTAGTAAACTATACCTTTCTCAACCAAATGGAAGTTAAGGATCATTCGTATTTAGAAACTCAAGCTGAGACAAGTCTGACCTAGGGATTCTGTGACCTTCCAGAGTCCTGAACTAGAGTTTCCAACCGTCTCGGCAGTAGCATTTGCAGGTGGGTCAGACTGATGACAGCAGTGCTGTGGTATCACAGTGCAATCCCTGCCCCTTTTCCATGAGCTTCATGACATCACATACATATGTCCCAAAGGGGAGGCACTGGGATGCTGCTTTCATCATTCTGACAAAAACAAGGTACAGCGCTGCAATTCTTCATAACTGCCATGAAGACGGCTGAAAATTGCACTTTAGCAACTCTAGGAGGTCCTCACTGCAAACACAGCCCTTTTAAGTGCAACTATGGGTGAAAATATACCTATGAATGATTAAAGTGTACCATCAATCCATTACTGTTGCATTTGTTCAACTACAAAGTGATTTTTCACGGTTACAAGTAATGGACTAGGGCTGTTTTTCCAGGAACTGACGGGTCTTGCTGCAAAGTTACGTAGGGCATCACATTCCCAACTTCATGTGTATTGCTGCTCCCAATCCACTTTGTAAAAAGCAAGCTCTTAATGTAATTTTTGCAAGTGTATCATGAACTTGAACCCTACAACTCTTTAGAAGAAAAAGCCAAATTGTGAGCAGAGATATGTTGCTAAGGAGCATATGTAATGTTTTGTGTTCTATCAGAAGTGACCAACTGCCTCTGAGCAGACCTAAAAGACGGACTGCTCTAAAGGAAGCAGTGAGGAGGCAGCAAAATCTTTGACCTAAAGCCGTTAGGGGGGCACTTGCTCGTCCTGCTAGAACAGCCTTTCCTGATATGTGTTGGAACCAATTGGGAAAGGCTGAGTTGGAACACAAGGGGCAAGATAGGTAGGTGGCAGTGCTGGGAATTCCAGTCCCAAAACACCCAGAAGGGGCTAGACTAGAGGAGGCATGGCACTCACAGGACACTCTGCATCTGTTTTACCGTCTTGACAGTTCTTGTAGGAACCACCATCACCAGACTGCAGCACCTAGATGACTGTGCCATTTGAAAGCTAAGCAAGGGCTGGCAGAATGATTCCCAAGCAAGACCCTCTATGCACAGAAACCGTCCAAGGAACAAAGACAAAAAACAACAACAACCCTAGGACCTTTCTCAGTAGCAAGGTAAGTTTTCTATATACAGGTGGTTTTTGTTTAGGGAGAAGCAGATCATCTTACAAATTCCACAAAGAGGCTTCAGTTGCATGTTGTTCATCTCAGTTGCCGCTTGCAAAAGATATATGGATAGGATGTTCTTCTCGGCTAGGTGATTCAGAAGTGGATGGGGTCAGGCATGCATTTTGAGGGCCGCGCCATCACATAAGAACATCTCGTGACACCAACTGCATGTTCTCTTTCTTGAACCGAGCACCATCGATCAAATGATTTTGCATTTTGTAAACTCTGCATTTGGGGAATCCGTTGTAGATAATTAATTTCCCAAAACAACCCAGCAATGCAAACAAAATTGATTTCAAGATGTCACCAGAGTTTAACTAGCATTTAGACGCATCAGCAGGCAAATGGTTGGCATGAGGAGCTCAGCTAATACTCACAGAACTTCAGAAAGGAGGAAGAAAAGCCCCCAAATTCTGAAGCAAAGAAATAAGACCAGCCAAGTTTTCCCAAGATTGGCTCTTGGCCTTGTTTCAAGGCAACAGCTACTCCTAACAAAAACAACACTGAATGGGGCGAACAAGAAGAAAAAACATTCATGACGTCTGCACTAAAACACTGGTCCAAGTACAGCTGGATATGGGACACAGCCTGATTCCACTTCCAGCTAGCAAGACAACCTTGGCCCACGCCTTCAAGCACCAAACATTTCTGACCAGGGATATTGATTTACTTTCTTGGCCGCAGTAAATGAGCTGACGTTATTGTGTTCGAAGTTGATAATCTAGGAGAAAAAGAAAATTTAATGAGCTCGGCGACGAGAAGCGACGAAGCTATACACAGAGAACCCCTCCACTCCATTTTTTTTAACTTGTTCATTTCTTACCACTGCATCCAACCTTTTTTCTATGGAAATGAAACAGGCATGTGAAAAATTGCCTCTCATTTTATAATAATAATAATAATAATAATAATAATAATAATAATAATAATAATAATAATAATAAAGTCGGAAGGGACCTTGGAGGTCATCTAGTCCAATCCCCTGCTCAGGCAGGAAACCTACACCATTTCAGACAAATGGCTGTCCAATCTCTTCTTAAAAACTTCCAGTGTTGGAGCATTCACCGCTTCTGGAGGCAGGTTGTTCCACTGGTTAACTGCTCTAACTGTCAGGAAATTTCTCCTTAGTTCTAGGTTGCTTCTCTCCTTGATTAGTTTCCACCCGTTGCTCCTTGTCCTGCCTTCAGACACTTTGGAAAATAGCTTGACTCCCTCTTCTTTGTGGCAGCCCCTGAGATAGTGGAAGACTGCTGTCATGTCCCCCCTCGTCCTTCTCTTCGTTAAACTAGACATACCCAATTCCAGCAACTGCTCCTCATACGTTTTAGCCTCCAGTCCCCTAATCATCTTTGTTGTTCTTCTCTGTACTCTTTCTAGAGTCTCAACATCTTTTTTACATCATGGTGACCAAAACTGGATGCAGTATTCCAAGTGTGGCCTTACCAAGGCAGCAACTATTAGGGTAGACTGGGAAAAAGTGACTAGTCCAAAGCCACCCAGTGGATTCCCTGATCAAGTAAAAAATTGAAAATAGTCTCCCCATTGCTACTCCCAAGATTCTAATTACCATTCCACCCGACCTTACTCATTTTCCCCATGTTTTTTTTACAGAGGACCGTCTAACTCTAAAAACTATGCTCAGCTATATACTAGCCATCCCATCACTTAATTAATTGATTGCACAATTAACGTTGCTAGTTTGGGAGTAAGATCTGCCTAACGTATATATTTTAATCTTGTATTTTATATTTAAAATTTTATGTTGCATAGTATGCCTTATTTTAATTGTGATGCTTCTGGCACAAATAAATAATCCCATTACTTATCCCAGGAGAAACACATGATAAAGAGCTCTGGTTACTTAACCACATTCAGCCCCACCTAGACCTCATTCTTACTGCAAGCACATGGAAACCATCCATACACCATGTGACACCCACCAAGTAAAGCACTTGATATACCAGCACCATTTTGTGGCTACAAGGCCACCTGAAGGTATCTAATAAGCAAAGTGTCTTTTCACATACCTCCGTTCTGGGTAATGTAGCGGACCCAAGGCAATGCCTGGTAGCCACTCTTCTCAATTATTTTTAAATAACGAACCTAGAAAGGAACAGAAGTAAACTTTCGGCTTCCGTCTGGAGAAGTCCCATTTGCTTCCCACATTCAAGGGGGTGGGACAGATAAAGGAGAAGGAGAAGCATGAAGCATAGAGAGTGGACAAGATCACTGAAATCCCATCTAGGCTGGCAAGGCACCCACAATGATAGCCTGCTTACCTGAATTCCAGATGTGGTGAAATATGGGATTTCAAACTTCACACTGATGGGAGGTTTCCCTTCTTTGTCCTCAGCTTCCACACTCGGGAGCCCAAAATGGGCCCTCATCAAGTACTCCTTCCCTCCCTGTAAGTTAGCAGAAAGTCGAATTTCATTTTATCCCACCTTTCAGGGCTTCTCACACCAAAGAGCTGAAGGAAAACCATCCGTTCCACAAAATCTGTGCAATTCTATCCAGAGTGATAGACAGAATTCCATGGGATCAACGGAGGTGAACTAAACCTTGCTGGACAGGGCAAAGTTCTTTTGAAATGAGCTAATGAAATTTGCTCTGAACAGTTAGGGAAGAACTGTCTACGCAAAGTTCCTTTGGAAATAAAATGGATACAGCTTTTTTTTTTTGTTGTTGGCCTCTCTCCCAGAGATGTTCACAATCAATGAGCTTACTGGAAAAGACTTGATGGACCACACAATGGCACTGTTCTCAGGAACCCACTTGACATTCCCAACTGTGGTTTTGAACTTTGGTGAATCGGCATCATTGGGAACAGGAATGTGAATCTCCACGTTATTGGCTGTAGATCTGCGCTTGAACTGACTCTTGGCCTAAAAAGATTTCAAAATTGCTAATAGAAAATACAATCCCAAATAAACTTGAGTAATTTGCAAAGTATAATTTTTAATTTCTTTCTAGTGTCTTTTTCTCCACAAATACTGTTCCAAAAGGCTGTGCTTAGTTTGAGTAAAATGGGTGTTATTTTATTGGCTAAGAATCAATCTTTTCCTGGCCAATTTTTCAACAAAAAAGACAAGGATAGAAATGTTAGGCCTGTTCTTTCAATCATTTTTATTAGATTTTTTTTAAAAATGCACCATCATAATTTAATGATGAAAAATATGCTCCAAGGCCACACGCAGCCCATGCTTCCTCATCTTTCCTTAACAACCAGGTATTTTCAATATTTATAGTATGTTCAATAGGAAAACATAGCAAGGAATGGACACTGGAGCCCTTTGAGATTTTACTGCATGTGTAGCCCTGGCCTCCAAGATGCTTTTAACAGTCTGCTATCTTTTCTCTAGAACCTTTGACAACAGAATTGCTTTGCACAATGGACCACAAAGGGCCAACAGAGTTTTCTGGATTCCACTCACCTTGATCATGTACTCTATGCGACTATGGGAATGCTTCTCTATAACTGACTCAATCCAAATTAGAGGCTTTACCTGCAGATGACAAGATAAACTGTTATTGCATCACTGGCTCCCCAAGCACCAGAGGATTCATCAGTTTCTCCTTTATTTCTAGAGAAAAGGAAAGCCCCGTACAGAGGATCCAAGACACCGATCACTACCGATCCCACAGTGCAACTTGGCTCTTGACTGGTCTATAAGCAACCCAACGCTGCAGCACTTTCTGTCTGGGATCACTTCACCTTCATTAGTATCACATATATAGCAGCAATCCAACATGCAGCAATTGATTGATTCCACCCATTTCACCCACCAGATATTTCACAGATATCATCAGTCCTGGTCTAAATGGAGAGTTAAAGCCACAAACTCTTAAAAAGAAAGAGCCAAAAAAAGGAGGGAGGGGGACGATTCTGTTTGTAACCCCAGATTAAAACACACGTACATGGGTATTAAGGCGATAGGACATGAGCTCAAATTCCCCATCGGGTGGGATAAATGAAATAGTCCTATCATTTTCAAAACGAGAGAGACGAACACACTGGTGGAATTTCACATCTTCCAGTTCCACAGATTTGCTCTTGCCGCCTGTCAGGGATAGAAGAGAAGGCCCGGGCTTGGAAAGTGTAACAGCAACAAAGGGAAGCTATAGAGGTAGGTCTGTGCTGAGATCGCTTTAGGCCAATTTCCTAAAGCAGGGGTTTCCAAACCTGGCAACTTTAAGACTTGTGGACTTCAACTCCCAGAATTCCTCAGCCAGCTGTACTTGGTGCCAAACCAAGTTTGGAGACCCCTGTCCTAAAGAATAGCAATTTCAGCTATAAGAAGAGAAAATAAAGGCATGCATAAATCAAGTGCAGAGAATCCCAGGTCATAGGAGTACTCCTGTACAAACCCCATGCAGAAGACAGACAGATACATCATAGTAAAAAACAGAATTTATACATGCTGTTCCTAAGCCTGCCCCTCTAAGCCAGGGATTCTCATACTGGGATTAATGAGCCACTGTCATGACCGACTTAAACGATGGTTGCAGTTTTGTTGAGCAAGCAAAGCAGGAGTGGTGTCAAAACTCACTCCTGTTGTGCTTGGCAACGACCTCAGGTGATTTCACCAGGCAAAGCAGAGAAAAGGTCCCAGGCTAGTTTTGAGGGATGGCTAATTTAGTAGTATATCAAAACCAAAACCACAGCAGCTTTATTTTATTTTACTCACAAATTAATTCATCAATTTAAGAGGTCATGGCAGTGCAAATTTTGAGAATCTCTCTCTAAGTTTCATAATGAAGAAACTGACAGGAGGACAGAATTAAATTGGTTAAGACAAAATGTTTCTGGAAGAATTCCAATTAGTACAGAGGAGTTCAAAGGGATGGTTTCATTAAGATCTTTTCTAGTAAAATGACTCTAGTAATGAGTCATTAGCTATTCAATATGATGGGTTAGCAGTTCACATGCAGCTCTATAGCACCCAATTTTCAGCTTCCAATCACTCTCCCAGCAATCCATGGCAAAAGAACAGCCACAGTTCAGCACTTAAAAAAAAAAAGTTTAAAGGGCAAGATGGGTATTTTAAGCCTTGCAACATCCTCAAGCATTTATTATGTCTTTTAAACTACCCCCCCTTCCACAGGTACAATTCTTTAAAATTAGGCTGCAAGGACAGGGAAGCAAAGAGGCAAGCAGGTAACCCGGAAGAAGCAGACATACTCACGGCCAGTATTATCAAAAAGGACTTTGTCATTCAAGCCAAGGCGAAGCTCTGGCATTCCAGACAAGAAAACCCTCATTTTGATGGATCCA